CCCTGGGTGGCATCCCTGGCAATGTGTACAACTGGATGCGGTGGTGTAGGCCTATAATTCAGCACTGTAATCCCAGCAGGAGGTTCCGAAGTTCAAGGTCACCCTCAACTACATAGCAAATTCAAGGCCAGTCTGGGATCATGAGACCCCGTCTAAATAAATACAAATAAATACGTGGCAGTTGGTTGACTGGCTTGGATCTCAGTTTAGAGGTCTAGGCGTAAGGTAGTGTTGGGAATTACCTACACATAAGTGATGTCTAAGACCAGATACCTGGCTAAGAGCAAAGTATGTTGGCAATGAAGGGGCAATCCAATCCTTCAGCGGACCCCCAGACTCCACCTCCCGTCTGCCAATATGCTCCCATTGGCCAGAGTCAGAGCAGCAGCGAAGGGGTGTCTATACTTTGAGACTTGAGGTCTCCAGTCAGTTCCTCAGTCCAGGTTGTTGTGAGGCACACTAACAATCTGCCCTTCTTTCTCCTCCTGTTCCCCCCTACCCCTTGTGCCCTCTCACCCCACCCCACCTCTGAACTCCCTCTCCTTTTCTCTTGGCTCCGCCTCCTGCTCCTCCTCTTGCCCCTTCCGGAATCCCCGTGTGCCCTCTCCCCCAAGGTGAAGGTCTGGTTCCAGAATCGCCGCACCAAGCAGAAGAAGGACCAGAGCAGAGACCTGGAGAAGCGGGCATCCTCTTCTGCCTCTGAGGCCTTTGCCACCTCCAGCGTTCTGCGACTTCTGGAACAGGGGCGGCTGCTCTCCGTGCCCAGGGCCCCCAGCCTCCTGGCACTGACCCCCGGCCTGCCAGGCCTTCCTGCCTGCCACAGGGGCACCTCCTTGGGTGACCCCAGGAACTCCTCCCCAAGCCTCAATCCAGTGCCCTCGGCCTCAGCATCGTCCCCTCTGCCAGCCATCTGCTTTTCCACAGCTCCGCTCCTGGACTTGCCTGCCAGCCACAAACTGGGGTCCTCAGCGTTTGAGCCCTACATCAGGCTAGAACAACAGAAAGTAGGCAGCCCTGGCCAAAGTGGCAAGAAAGCTGACACTTAAGAGTCCCGTCCCCGTGTGACACTGAGTCCCCAGCACAGCACGACCCCAACCTCCTGGCCCCTGTGGACTGTACTGAGCAGGCCTGGAAGAGAAGGAGTGGACACAGCATGCTCCTCTCCACCCGCCCTCAGCTCAGAGACTGTACCAAATGACTTTGGTCCCAACGTACTCTCTGATGTGTGTGTCATGTGCGTGTGAGTGTGTGTGTGCATATGTGTGTGCGTGTGTGTCTCACTGAAATAAAGAAGGGAACTGGTCCCAGCAGCACCAACTCACCCCCTTCTGTCCTTGTCCTCAATGTGCAGCAAAATGGGAACCTCAAAAGGGAAGGGGTGGGCCTGGGGCTGGTGTCACAGGCGTGGGTCCACCGTTTACACAGCTTTCATCTGGACTCACAGCCCCACAACATCTGTGCTTTCTCTGGTTAAGCTCTCTCCCATGGGAGCTTTTCTTTCAAATTCAAAATACTTGTTCGGGTGGGCAGTAAGTCCTTCAAGGGGTGGATGGTGCAAGGTGGAAGGAGGTCTGAGAGGGCATCAAAGGTACGCTGGAGCAAGGCTGGACTGGGGAGAGGCCTCTGCAGCATCAGCACTCAGAAAAGTCCCATTCTGCTCATGGTGCTTCCATTGAACCTTTGTTTGTAATAATCATAGACTCTTGGGGAGTCGTTCACCCACTGTGCCACTGGCTTTTCTAGTTCCCAGGACAAAGTGTGTAGCAGAAGCAAGGTGAGGAGGGAAAGATTTATTTCAGCTGATTGCAGGAAGGTGCAGTTCAGCTTGGTGGGAAAGTCCATCTGTGGGAAGCCCCAGAAGTGAGGTGGTCGTTCACACTGCAGCCTCAGTCAGGAAGCTGGCGTGAACGCTGGTGTTTAGTTCACATTCTCATTTTTCTTCAGTCTGGGCCCCCAGCCCAAGGATTGTTGTCGCCCTCCCCTCCTTATTTAAAACTCGGGAAATGCCCTGACAGCTCTGCACAGAGGTATGAATATAGTAGGGGTGATTCTAAATCCCATCAACGTGACAGTCGAGGTTATCCAGCTCCCCCCCATCAAGGTGACATTTGAGGTTATCCAGCATCCCCCCCCCCATCAATTTGACGATTGAGGTTATCCATCATCCCCCTCCCATCAAGGTGACAGTCGAGGTTACTCAGCAGCATCACCCCACTAACTTGGCACATAAACACATCACTTTTAATCAACAGTATTCTAGCTCTGGTCTCTAAATGCTTATGTTCATCTCACAGTGTGCAATGTGTTTAGTCTATCTCCATGAGTTCCTGAAGTCTTCACCATTCCATAGTTGGTCAAAGTGTGGAGATCAGACAAACTCTTGACTGAAAGAGCCAACTTTTAAAAATGACACTCTTTCAATACATGGTGGCACAGAATAAGTGTTTCCATTCCAAAAGGGATGCATAAGACACAAGAAGGAAAGAATGAGCCAAGGCAGGACCAGAACCCAGCAGAGGAAACACATCCTGGGGCTCTGGCATCTGGGACCAGGTATCCAGGCAGGGATACAGAGGTGCCAACGGGCTTAGGTAGCTCTGTCTCTTCGTTCCGCCACTTGCAGCACACGTAAGCACCTGTCTTGAGCTAACTCCATGCTGTGCTTACAACTGTACTCAACAGATATTCATGGCCCTAGCACCTCCATTACAACTTAAGCTTTACCCTCAGAGTTCCATGCAACAGCTTCTCAGGGCCTCCTTGAAGGAGATTCAAACCTGCCACACGTGACCTGGCCTCAACAGCTTTCTAGGACCATGGTGCAAACCTCCGTGGCCCTGTATAGCCCTTGCATTTTGCATGCCCTTCAAACTAGCAACAGATGGCTGCTGCTGCCACGTTCTGCTATCAGCTTGAGATGTGGTCTGGCCCCTTCTGCTGATGCTGTGGTGGCCTCTGTGCTCTTCCACAGTCAGATCTCAGAAAACTTGTAGGGGTTCCTCAGTTCAGGCTCTCTTCTTTCAAATGAATTTGCATTTTTATAAGTTGGAGAGTTGGGTGGGTGGGTGGTCTTGCCGTCAGAGCCCATTTCCTATTGTTCCAGTGCAGAGTGCCATGTTTCTCTATGATGGCCCTAACCTCTCTAACAACCCCAGCTGCTTCCAACCCTGCTTTGACTGTAACATTAAACTCTCTCCCTTTGACAAACTGTACACTTTTCGTATCTTTGCTCTGCATACATGCTGCTCTCTCTCACTGCATAAGATCAGTGAGCAGTAGCCATGCTACAGCCTGAATGCTGTCCTGCTGTTTTAATTACTTTTCTATTGCTGTGATAAGACACCACAACTAGAGGCAATTTATAGAGGAGTTTGTTTGGGGCTCACAGTTGCAAAGTTAGAGTCATCACCATCATGGCAGGTACATGGCAGCAGGCAGACAGGCATGGTGCTGGAGCAGCAGCTGAAAGCTCATACACAGATCCACAAACAGGAAGAAGGAGAAAGAGAGAGAGAGAGAGAGAGAGAGAGAGAGAGAGAGAGAGAGAACACTGGGAATGGTGCTAGTCTTTTGAAACCTCAGAGCCCAGCCCCAGTGACACACCTCCTCTAACTAGGCCACACCTCCTAATCCTTCCCAAACAGTTCTACCAACTAAGTTCCTAGCATTCAAACATATAAGGCTACAGGGGCCATTCCTATTCAAACCACCATACCTTCCATGAGATTTCCTCTGCCAAACAGATCAATCCATCACTTCTAAATTCAGTCTCACTCAAATTCTCAGGATACAGGCAGAATACGTTCAGATTCTTTTCCAGAATATAATATGAATCACATCTAGCCCATTTCATCATAAAGTCCTTGTTTCCCTCTGACACGTCATGTGCTGGGATTCAACTGTCTATGTGTCTCTTCAGCATTCTCGTCTTCCACCAGAATGGCCAATGTCACTCTCCTTACACCAATCTAGGGCTCCTCCAGACTGTAGCTGAAAAACTCTTCCGCATTCCTCTCACAAACCAGTTGCAGACGTCTAAGAACCATGTGGCCAGGTTCGTAGTCACAACTCCACTCCCGGTGCCAGTTTCTGTATTAGTTACTTTTTCATTGCTATGACGAAGTACTTGGCGAAGGGAAAGTTTATTTTGGATCATGATTTGAGATTGCGGTATGGTAGGAAAGGCATGGGGATGGCAGGAGTTGGGAGGGCTGTGTATATTTCCTAGATGCTTCTAAGTCCTGTCAAGCTGGCCGTCAAAGTTAACCATCACACCTAATTGCCCACAATGGTAGCAATTTTTAATACCTAGCGTTTATCACACAGAAAAGTAATGCTGGGACCACGGGCGGAAGCTCACATCATTTCACCTGTGGTGTAGCCTCGTGGAAGCATGCAGTCAGAACGCTGATCCCTCACAGCCACACCCAGCCCTCAACAGAAGAGTTCTTTGACATAATGGGATGAGAGAGAGAGAGAGAGAGAGAGAGAGAGAGAGAGAGAGCAGAGACCTGAAATGGACCAGGGAACATGGCAGCTTCCTGCAGGAGGTGGCCTGTGACTGGCCAGGAGATGAGCCTTTACAGATGACAAGGTGATGGACTTGGAGAGGAAGGAGCACCCAGTATGGCTCAGGACAAAGGGTGCAGGTTGTGAGGACAGTGAAAAGACAATCTGCCAGAAATAGAGCATGAGGAGACCAAAGAGTGATATGGTGAGGGACAAGGACTTGCCGAAAGTAGGTAATGCTGAAGCCACACTCACTGTGGGAACTAGGGGCAGGGGGCATAGAAGTTAGAAAATGCTGTGCACCTCGCTCTGTCTGTCATTGTGAGCCTTCAGCACCTGGCACCCGGGGGCCAGCCACTACAGGATCTGCTCAGCCTGTGCTTGAGAAACTTTCGGAGTTGGTGCGTGCCAGCTTCCCTGTTTACAGTCAACCTGGCAGAGGAGGGGGGAGCAGGGACAGAAGGAAGGGAGGGGTGGCCGCTGGCACAGGCTGAGCAGCCTGCTCCAGCTGGAACTGAAGTCTTAGAGTCGCCACCAGTTTTCTCAGGCACTGACGCCAGCTCTCCACACACCATGGCCACGAACGCAGACACCAGGCCTGGGGGATTCACTAGCAATGGCTGCGACCCAGTCACAGCTCGAGAGCATGTGCAGGTTGTGACCCGAAACTACATCACCCACCCCCGTGTCAGTGAGTATTCATGTCCAGCTGGCGAGGGGAGAGGGCTGCTGGGATCACGCTTTTGCCTCTGAAAAGGAGGACCGAGACCTAAGGAGACCGGGGCGGGGGGGGGGGTACCTCTGGGTCCAGGGGAGCCATGTGGTGGCACAGCCTATGCCCAGGTCACCTCTGCAGGTGGAGGGATGGAGCCCCCCGTTCAGGCGGAGGAGAGGGCTGAGGAGCAACTGTTATCATCAGGATCCTGTCTAAGACCCAAGGTCCAGAGAGAGCTTGAGGGAGACAGAGATAGAGAGAGGAGAGAGAGAGGGAGAGACAGAGACAGGAGAGAGAGGGAGGGAGGGAACAAGAACACATGTGGCCATGTATGAGTGGGCAAATGGGTGTGCAGGGACATATGTAGCAGTACTGTCAGTGGGCACTTGGCTTGAGGACTTCTGTAACCAGTGTGCTGTGCCTGCATCATTTCCTAGGGGAGAGAATCTGTATAGAGAAGCATGGACTAGAAGGGCATTCTCCACCACCGGGGAGTGGGGGCGGGGTGTGCAACGGCGTGTGTGTGTGTGTGTGTGTGTGTGTGTGTGTGTGTGTGTGTGTGTGCATGCTTGTACACACAGGGTGGAGGTGAGGTGAGTGTGTATGTGTGTGCACGCTTGGATATGGTGTGCACGTGTGTCCAAGGGGAGAGAACGCGTGGCTTTATGCTTACATGGTGTATGAGAACACACATAGCTGTGGCAATCTGTGTATTCGGCTGGGGTAAGAGCACGGACCTGTTCACACATGGCGTGTCTTTCTCACGTTGTCTGTGTCTGATCTGTAAGGGTGAGCCAAGTCCAGGTCAGGGACAGAAAACCTGGCGAGGTCCACAGGGCCCCATGTTCCAACACCCCCCATGTTCTTGTCCAAGGTCACTCTCCCTAGCCTGGTAAAGTCTCAGGCAGCCCAGCTCACTGGAGTAAACCAGCCTGAGTGGCCTCGGCTGAGCAGAGCCTGAGGCTCCTAACAGGGTGTGTTCGTTGGGTGAGGGGAAGGAGCTAGACACAGCCATCCGTTCTTCACCCTGACTGCAAAGCTACCCGGCCCCACAGGGGAGGTGTGGACACATACAGGGTAGCCACCAGCTGAGCTCAGAGCAAGTAAAGTGCCTTTCAGCCTTCAGGGAGCAGAGCCCTGGGTGCCCAGCCCAGCTGAGGCTGAGCGAGACAGGCACAGCACGCACCAGCTAGGGGAAAAAGACGAAAGCGGGCAAGCCAGGTTTCTCAAGGAGGCCTGGAGGCCCTGCCTCATGGACATACCGAGTCTAGAGAGAGCCCCCCAGGCAAAAACTTGAGTCACCAGGGCCCAGAAATCAGTGGCGAGAGGGGGCCTCATTATGCCCAGGGTTTGGGCCATGTGATACCCTGCCCCTGCAGGCCCAACCACCTGTGGGCAAAGGAGAGCTGCCAGGTTGGGTGGGGCAGGGGCCTGGACCTCCAGGCTCAGCTTTCCTTCTGGAATGCGGCCTTGCAGGGATCTGCAAGGATCTCCGGGTACAACCTTTATGCTGCCTCCCCTCACCCCACGTTTTCTTCCAGGTGGGAGGGCTCAAGCTAGAGCAGCCTCTCACCGGTTTCCTCCAGGCAGCCACTTATTTATTGTCAACACCCTGCAGGTTCTGACACCCCCCCACCCCCCCAACCCAAGACAACAAGATCACAGCCACAGTGACAGAGCAAAGGCTGTGGATAGCCTAGGGGCTGGGCTAGCCCTCCAGGACACCCTCCTAGCCTGGCTCAGCCTAGTTCCCCATACCCCTCCATCCATCTTGGGTACCTGGGTGGAGTTCTTCCTAGGAGAATGAGCCCAAGGGTAGGAGTGTCTGGAGTCCCCTCCCCAGTACTGTTGCCCCCCCAAAACAAGGATGCTGTGCCCCCTCTGTCCTCCTCCTCCTCCAGCCAGGCCCTTTACTCTGAAACTCCAGGCCCTAAGCTCAGGCTGGAGAACTGGAGAGGGAGCCTAGGAGATGGGCCAGTGCAGAGGTCAGGGGCCCCAGGGCTCCTGTAGTCTCGCATAGAGGTAGTCTGGTCATCCCAGGGCACAGCAGCTGCAAGGGTGACTTAATGCTGAGGGACAGAGCTGGCCAGAAAGGAGGAGGAGGAGGGCAGAGTTGGGATTGGACATGAGTGCTGGCAACAGCCACCTTGAGAAGCAGGGCCTTCCTTCAGCGGAACTGCCCAGACTCCGAGTGCCTTCCTTGGCTTATTATAGAGGCAGTGAGTGCGGCTTCATGGGATCACTGGGTAGATGTGCAGCATTGCACGTGGGGGTGAGCACAGCTCGTGCAAAGGTGCAAAAGGACAAGTGACAGCCTAGTTGGAGGGATGGGGCCAGGTCCGGCCATTCCTCCAGGGTTTGAGAGCCAAAGGGGAGGTAGTTACAGTGGAGTCTGAACAAGCAGGTTCTGACTCTAAGACCCCCATCTTCCAGTAGGGACCCCCTCCCCTAGTCCCCCCAGCTGGGACAGGGGGGGCATGGAGGAGCAGGACCTGCTGCCCCAGGCTTGCCCCCACCCTGGCCTCCAGCCTGCTGGGGGAGGGAGACCGGACACTGCAGGTGTAGCTGGTCAGGCGCTAATTAGGACCGAGTAGGAGCCCTGCTGAGCCTTTGACGGGGCTGTGGGGAGGTGGGGGTAGGGAGCTCTCCTCCACACTGCAGCCCCCAGTGTCAGAGACAATGGGAGGGGGTGAGCTGAGGGGGGAGAGTGTCTGCTAAGTCTGGGAAAAGCCCATTGAGGGAATGCCCTGAGGTCAGCGGAGCCAGGGCTCTCTTGGCAGCTCATCACCCTGTGTCTGTCTTCAGGGTCAAGTGGGACATCCCTGGGTGGGCAGTGCCTGAATCCCCGAGGGCCCCAGCGCCAGCTGGACCTGCCCACTTTAGCTTGCCTCTCCACGAAAGGGGCACAGTCAGGGTGCCCACCAGTCAAAGGCATCTCCGTGGCTCAGTTTCCCTTTGCCCGAGTCCTAACTGGACAGCCCGAAGGTGGGAGTGCTGGCACACCTATGATCCCAACACTCAGGAGGATGAGGCAGGAGGATTGCCACGAGTTTGAGGTCAGCCTGCGATAGAAGAGTGAGTTTGAAGGAAGCCTGGACTATAGAGTGAAACCTTGTCACACACACACACACACACACACACACACACACACACACACACACACACACACAAATAAATAAATAAAATAAAAAATCCAATAAAACCCGATGGCTCTGAGAAAAGATCTGGTCTTGTGTTGGGGTCTACAATCCCTCAGGGTACCAGTCTGTGGTCTTGGGGATTTCCAGAGGAGGAATTGTGAGAAGCACTGCAGGAGGTAGGCAAGGGCGCGGCCTGAAGGATTTGCAGTCTCCGTGTTGAATAGAAAATGGTACTTGAGTTTTCTAGAGTGAGGGCCTCAATGCAGAGAGAGCTGTGCCTTCCTCCAGTCACTCTGCCGTTCCTGCCTTGAGCTAGGGTGGATCCTGCAGTCTGGAAAGAAGGCTGGGGTGCTGAGTGGAGGAGACTCAGAGACCTCACAGTGGTCGCCATGTGGTCTGGCCTAAGGGAAGCTAAGATCTCCCAACCTGACTCCCAGAGAGCCAGGCAGGCCACCCAGCACTGTCCCTCCCCCTTGGCATCAGGCAGGGCGCCCAGCCTCCAGCCCCTAACCTCCATCTCCAGGTACCCTCTCTCCAGGTGGACTTGCTGGACCTCAGGATTAACAGAGATTTCTCAGGATGAGCCGTGAATCATGAAGTCTGGGAGCAGGCTGTCTCCCAAGGTTGTGAAACCAAAAGTGATCCCTTTGGGCTTTGTGGCTCTCGCTCTCTGGAGACAAGCCACTTACTCTGGCCCACACACCCTGGAGACTCTTGACTCCAGACTCACTGCTGTCTTTCCCCATCTCTGTGGATCTAGCAAAATGCCAGCTCTCCCCAGGCTTGGAAACACGCACCTGCCAGTCCAAAAGTTTCTCCACCCTGGTCGGGTGTTGGTCCCGGCCCTGTCTCTGCTGGTGTCACCAGCTCCGCTCTGTACCATCCTCACAGTGTGAATTCCATCAGAGTGTCTGTCGTGGCCCCCCAAACCACCACCCTCAAGACTGTACATATTTCCTCTCCTCTTTTCCTCTGTGGTCCTCAGCAGGCAGCAGCTGGGGGTGTGGCCCTTGTGCTGGGCATCAGGACCCCCATTCGGTTTGAGGCTAAGGTGGGGATACCTGTTGGTCTGATGGGGACATAAGGGAATAATGAACTGATAGAACCAGTTAGTGCCTTCCGGAACTCAGTCAGCCCAACGTACGGAGTGCCAGCCTTGTGCTGAGCAGGGATGGCAGAGACCATATCTGACAGCTCTCCCCACACTAGAAGCCAGCCTAGAGGAGTCCTGAGTCACCTCCTTCCTCTCTGTCACCTAAGGCACTGAGCAGGTAGCAATCAGGGTTCTTTCAACTCTGCCATGGGCACTTCCCTCAACTCGCTGGGGCTGGCTGGAAGGCTCCCTTTAACTCCGTCCCCTGACTTGAGAATGCCTCTTCCCTGAACATTCACTCTGGTCCCTGGCCCATCCCATTCTTCATCTCTTCTGCCTCCTGGCTTTGCACCAACCTCACCTGCCCATCTTGCCCTCCATGTGGCCCATGCACCCCACCTTCATCTCACTAGGCCATCCTGATCTTTCCCACCTAAACATCCCTGTAGTTTCTCGTAGTTTCACAATGCCATGTTCTTTCTGTCCCTGCCTTTGGACATTAGGCTCTACATTTGAGTTGTCCTTTATCTGCCTTGCTAGCAGCAGTTGGATGGCATTCAACAGCTAGGATTTAAAGAAAGGAAGGGAGGAGGGAAGACTCCCAGGGAACAGGAAGTGAGAGGGAAGGAGCAGAGCCTGGGCTGATCTGTAAGAAGCCCTTCAGTGGGGGACCTTGTGGGTTTCTTCCAAGGACCCTGGATATGGAAGAAGGGGAATGTGCCTGATGATGTAGTAGTCCTCTTGTGAGAGTGAGCGCAGGGGAGGGGGAGGGGCTGAGAGGGAGCCATTGTGCATGGGTGGTAGGGCTAGCCTGAGAGACAAATGCAGGGTGAGGAGCTAGCCCTTCACCAGGAGGGGCTTCTCCTGGATCCTTGCCTCAGATAAAGGTGGACATCCTTCAGGGGCTGAGGGAAGACAGCAGGGAGATGATACAGGGGTAGTAGGTAGCTCTGGGAGGGAACGGAGCGTCTTACTCGGGCAATCCTGGGCTCAGCCTTGAGTTTTCCAGGTAGTCCTTACAGTAGCAGGGTCCTTGCAAAGACCAGCGGGAGAATGGCCTTGTGCATTTGCTTTCTGGTGGATGTGCTGTGAGACAGCTTTGGTGACCGGGAAGGCGTGGACAGGGACACTGGCTTCTTCTGGGGTCAGGCACACTGTGGGCCAGTGTGGGCTGATGGAGGGCCCAGGGCAGCCCCTTCCCAACATGTGCCACAAGCATGCCAGTCCCAGGCCCATGGTGCCCACCTCCCCTGAGCTCCGTGGTCTGAGTGACCCAATTCCTTCTCAGCACCCCACGCATCCGGTTTGGGCAAATTACTGGTCTCCACTGTGTTACTGGTGCTCCATAGAATCCCTGGGACAGACTAGCTTTGTACTCCATTGCCAATCAAGGGACCACAGCCTCCTCAGAGCCCCTGAGCTAACCCCAGGAAGACCAGAGACAGGCTTCCTAGCTGACTGTCCTTGGATCTTACCCTGGAGCTGAGCTTTCTTCTCAGTGTGGGGTGTGTGTGTGTGTGTGTGTGTGTGTGTGTGTGTGTGTGTGTGTCTTCCTGGTATCACCCTCCTCTACCCACTAGGATGCCCAGTGTGCTGGTGGGACCTGGCCAGGGCTTGGTGGAGGAAGTGGAGGGGGGCAGCACCCCTCACCCCACAGGGCTCATCAGTGCAGGGTGAAGGGATGGCAATGGGGGCCTGGGGAAGGGCCCAGGAGGCCACGGCTGTGCCCCAGACGCCTTTGGAACATTCAAGTGGAGTTGGGAAGAGGGAATAGGTGAGGCGGGGGCTGAGGCCAGGGGGGAAGCACACGGGGTGGAGGGCTCAGCAGGCCTGGGCAGGACTCTGAGGAGGCCTCTGCCCTCATGCCCTCCTCCAGCATCCTGCAGGTGTTGAGACAGTGGGGGGTCTGTGGCAGGGGCTTGACCCTTACAGCAATGGTGGCTGGCGCTGTCACAGCTAATGACCCTGATGGCCCAGGCTGAGGAGGAGGTGGGGGTGCACAGAGGGCAGGAGACAGGATGCTTCTCTCTCTCTCTCTCTCTCTCTCTCTCTCTCTCTCTCTCTCTCTGTCTGTGTGTATGTGTGAATGTGTGTGTCTCTCAGTAAATGTGTCTCGGTGAATGTGTGTGTGTGTGCGGGTGTGTGCGCACACATGTGCACACATGCATACATTTTCCGTGGAGGTAGAACACAGTGGGATTTGGAGGTGAGACGCTGACCCCCTCCCCCCCTCCCCCAGCCTACAGGACCGTGTGCAGCGTCAATGGGCCTCTTGTGGTGCTCGACCAGGTCAAGGTAAGAGTCTTCAGTCTCCTTCCTGGCCTCTAGGCCACACTCAGGGTTTCTTTTAAGCTGCCCATCCAGGGGCCTTGTTTCATTCTTTTTTTAACTCTGTCACCCCTCAAGTCTCCTGCCAAGTTTCTTCTTCACAATTTGTCTGTGGGAGGCTGTAAAAACCACCAGTACTCAAGGCTGGGGCCTAGTGAGTGCTGGCCCTGGAAATCCTGTTCATCGGCCAGTTTCCCCCTCTCCCTCTCCCTCTCCCTCCCCTGACCCACTCGCAAGAGATCAAACCCAGGGCCTCCCGCAGGCCAGGCCAGCACTCTATCCTGAGCTGCATTTCTTTCCCTGCCTTATTTTGATGAGCAGGTTTATTGCCTTGCTTCTTTTAGGCCCAAATTAGCGTTCTCTGGCCTGAAATTTTCCTCTTCAGGCTGACAAACACTGAGGACAGGGGTGGTTACCGAGACTCAGGTTCCCAGGGAGCAGAGCGAGGAGGAAAGAGCGGGACTTTGGCTGTAGATCTCATTTCGCGGATGTCCCTCTGTCTCTCTGCTCTTGCGCGCCATCTTGTGGTTGAGGCGCCAAACGGCTGGACTTCCGCACCTCCTACCCCTCGGGTTCGGGTTGGAGAGGGCATCTCCTCCAGCAACCCTACCCTCAGGGCCTAGAAAGTGCTCGCTTGGAGAAGGGGACACCTTCGCGTCTTTCTTTTCACCAGTGCGAACAAAACCGCCATCAGTGGCCGTCATCGCTGCAAATCTGAGCAGGGAAGGCCCTGGGGGAGTGGCCCACCCTAGTCACTAGTCCATCCGGCACGTTCCCCAGATTCACAGGGTCAGTAGTGTGTGGCCATCAGGGGACAGACTGACAGCCATGACTATGAACACTTGTGGCATTATAGTATGTCACCTAATGTTATTACATTTTAATAACAAAAAACAATACATGCTCCTTGTACCCAGAGAAACAAAGGAAAGACAGTTAACCATCTGTCCCTTTGTCCCCAGCCCGTGGGACAGTTGTGTGAGACCTGCAGGCTATGCTCGTATTCAGGTGAACATCGCATGTGCGGAGAGACACATGTACCCCTGCTGGATGGTGGCCTAGCGGGTTGTGTTTCCGAATATACTGATCCTTGTGGGGCTTAATCTTCTATGTCAACTGCACTGGATTTTAGAATCACCTAGGAGACACCACTGGGTGTGTCTGTGAGGGGCATTTCCAGAGAGGTGCACTTGAGAATGGAAGACTTGCCCCGAATGTCAATGGCACCACCCCATAAGGGAGTCCCAGGCTGAATAAAAAGGAAAAGGGGAGATGGGAAGCCCAGCACTGGAATTCATCTCTCCTTGTGACCTCAAGCTCTGTCTCAAGCCTTTCACACCATGGTGGATGGCATCCTCTCAGACCAAGGGCCAAGCAAAGCCTTCCCTAAGTTGTTCTGGTCAGGAATTTTGTCACAGAGAAAAAAAATATAGATTTATTCCATAATCCCATTCTGTTTACGGGTTCCTTCCTTCCTCCCTTCTTCCTTTCTTTCTTCTTTATTGCTATTCTGAATAATGCTTCCATGAGCATTCACATTGAAGACTTCATGGATATATGTGTGTTTATTTCTCAGGTAGATATCTAAGAGTAAATCTGCTTAGGTCAAATGGTGACTCTATTCTAACCTTTTGAGGAGCTGCATGTTACTCAGTGTAAACCAAGTGCTTTGGTTTACACTCCACCCGGGAGAATAAAGAGGATTCTGATTTCTCCATATCCTCAGTAGTGTGTGTTAACATCCGCTTTTTCTCTTTCAGCCACCCTAGCAGGTGTATGGCCATACTTCATCGTGGTTTTGATCTGCATTTTCTTGTTGACCAAGGAGAATGGCCATGAACATGTGGCCACCTGCCTACTGGCCCTATCTGCATCTTTAGAGAAATGCCTATTCAAATGCTTTAATCAAATCCTTTTCATCATAGAAGCCCCTTGTATATTTTGTTTATATTAACCTGATTTTTGTTTAAATTCCTAACCATTACACAGATGCCAGTCCCAGCTCCATAGCTAGGAATAGGCTGTCACTGGTTCAGCGACACCTAGAAAACAGGGAGTCTTTCTTCTGGTGACAAGTGTGCTCCTCCTTCGTGCTCAGGAGACCTGGCTGGCCACAATGGCCACTTTGTGCTACTGAGTCACCCCTCCTCCCACCCCACCCTACCTGGCGCTGTGCTGACAGCTTGATTGTAGGGTTCCCATCCTGGTCACGGCAGCCTTGTGGGGTGGGGCTTATTCTTAGCACTCTTGTTTTAAAGAGGAGAAAACTAAGGCTCATGCATTAACGACTTGAGGGCTCAGTAAGCCGTGTAAGTAATTAGACAGCTGCCATAAACTTGCACTAAGAAAAGAGATTTGGACCTAACACGTGCTTCTGATTAAATCCCAGTTATCTCCGGGGTGCCCTCTCCCAAACAAAGCCCCTTCCCCACATCACGGCACAATAAGACAGGCAGTAACGAGACCAGAAGAAGAGATGCGAAGTGACAGGAGCTTCACCTTGGGTGGCTCTTCTCCCTAACAGTTCGCCCAGTATGCTGAGATTGTCAACTTTACCCTCCCGGATGGGACCCAGAGGAGTGGCCAAGTGCTCGAAGTGGCTGGGACCAAAGCCATTGTTCAGGTAAGTGTGCCTACGAGAAGAGGGAACTCTTAGTTCCCATCCTATTTCACAAGCCTTGGAGGGAGGAATGGCCTGTTTCCCAGAGAATACCCTGCGCAGAGCTATGCACTGAGTGCCTACAGTGGGCGGCCCATTCTTTCCAGCTAGCCCCTCAGAACAATCCCTGACTCACAGGTGTTTGAAGGGACCTCAGGGATTGACTCCCAGAAGACCACCTGTGAATTCACCGGGGACATCCTGCGGACTCCTGTGTCAGAGGACATGCTGGGTGAGAGTGGAGGGCCAGGGTGGGTGCTCCTCTGTCTTTCCCTCCTGGCTTCTCTAATCAAGCCCTTCACTGCCTGCACGCATGTTTCCTATGTGCCTTCTGAAGCCAGCAGTGGTTTTCTCTCTCTAGCTCCCATCCCTAGTGCAGGGCCCAACATATAGAACATGCTCAATAATGAAGGCGTGAGGTTAAGTCATTACAGGTGCAGCTGGAAGCCACCTACTTGGGGCCAGGCTGAAAGGGATGACTAAGCCCTTCCTTACCTGGCCTGATCCTCTGATTAGTGATCAACCTGGGCCCAGGCCAGTGGTCAGGGTGACTCCAAAATGCCTTGCCTGTGAAAATTCACAGCAAAGGAAGGAAGACACCCTGTCCTTGGCAGGAACAGTCACGGAAGTCAGGCATGTGTGATGGTGGGGGGCTGAGGAGGCAGGGAACACAGGGTGTTGGGATTCTGGATGAGTATGTGGAGCTGGTGGCCGTGCACAGGCTGGGAGCCCTGACACCTTCCTGAACCCCCTGTCCCTCCCAGGTCGGATTTTCAATGGCTCTGGCAAGCCCATTGACAAAGGGCCTGTTGTCATGGCAGAGGACTTTCTGGACATCAATGGTGAGAGAGTGGACGCCCACCCTGCATGGCTTTGAGGACACAGCCCTAGCACCTGCCCACCTGAGCCATCATTTCTGCGACCTACCCTTGGAAGTCCTGCACGGACCTAGGCCAAGCAATGCTAACCCCACAGCTGGCCAGATGAGCAGGCAGATCAGCAAAGGCCTCCCTCCCCAGATCCACCATAGAAATGCCTCTAGCACTCCATTCTATCATTGCACAGCACCTCCAGCCATCCCCTGTGGCCTTCAGTTCCCTATGCTCTATCCTGGGAGCTGGGGACGGGAGGCTCACAGCAGAGAAGGATCGCTTCCTAGGACCCCAGCTATTCTTTAGGAGACCTTTCTGACTGCCCCACCCACCAGTTTTCCGAGGCAGTAATAGAGGTCCGTGGAGCCTCCCCGACCCATTGCTCAAGGCCACACAGCAAGCTAGTGGCAAAGCACGTGTCTTTATTCACACATAGTCTTTGAGCTACCCTCTGGTCCTCTGAACATCACTCAGGTGCCTAGGTGTTGAGGGGGGCTGTCTAGCTAAGATGCGAGGGCAATGCTATCTAAGACAGCATGGAGAGATGAACGGCTTTTTAAACTTGAACCGATTCAAATGAAAGGAAATTTCATTTTTCAATTGCATCTCACATGCACAAGAGCCGCAGGCGCCCAGGTGACGCTGCGCACATAGTTCCGTTGTTGCAGAAGGGGCTGTGGAACAGCTGGTTGGCAGAGAGAGGCAGTGGTGGTTGGTGGTAGGAGGGCTGGACCCTGAACCTGCGTGGTCACCCCTCCCAGGCCAGCCCATCAACCCTCATGACCGAATCTACCCCGAGGAGATGATCCAGACAGGAATCTCCCCCATTGATGTCATGAACAGCATCGCCCGTGGCCAGAAGATCCCCATCTTCTCTGCGGCTGGGCTCCCCCACAATGAGGTGAGGGACGACGTATAACCAAGGATCGGGGACAAGCAGAGGCCTGGGCTTCCAGGCTAGCACCGAGCACTTCTGTGCCAAGCAAAGAGTAGGAATGACCAGCATCCACCCCGGCTGGTGTTTCCGGACAGCTCAGGGCCAGGGTGGCATAAGAGACACCCCCAACACATACAGTCACACGTGACCCCCAGAAAGGGCTGCATGCTCTCCCTGGTGAATGGAGTGCTCACTGGCTTCAGAGAGCCCCAGTAGACTCCAGTGTAGAAGCCCTGCTCAGCTGAGCCGGTCTGTGTCAGGCGGTCCTTGTACTTGTGTTTGCCTGACTGCCACCACCAGACAAGAACCATGCGGTCCTCTCAGCCACTGGTGTGACAAGGTTTCTAGATATCCCTTCCTCACCATTCCTGACTGTGACAACTCTCTTTCGAGAGTCTCCTCCCCTCCCCAACACATCTTGATTCAGGACAGAGGGCTCTGACAGTCACACACATTCTAGGCTCATATGGCTCCAGCAGGCTGTGGGAGGTGCAGGCTCTGAAAGGCTTAGCTATCCTAAGCTAAACTGCCCAAATTCACACAAGACTGTTGCTCTTTGGGGATGCTGCCCTGCTCCTTGTGACAGGTGCCTTCAACTCCCTAGTAGCCAAAGAAGAGACTATCCCCAACCCTGAGAAAGACTGCAGGATCCAGGGCAGTCCCTCACTCTTCGGGGCTTGGACTCTCCCCACCCCAAGTTTGTAACATCCATCCTCCGCAGTGATGCTCAGCGGGCCGGATGTCACAGGGCTCTGGCCCTGACAGCCTCCCTCCTGCCCCATCCTGTCTCAGATTGCTGCCCAGATCTGTCGCCAAGCCGGGCTGGTGAAGAAGTCCAAGGCTGTGCTCGATTACCATGAGGACAACTTCGCCATTGTCTTTGCAGCCATGGGGGTAAGGGGAGCTGGAGGCAAGTCTGGAAATGGTGAGAAATAGCCTTGCCTGCCTTGGCTCTAGCACAGCCTATTCTGATGGGGGACACTGAGTCCTGCACCCTGAGAAGCCCCTAAAGTTCAGGCCAGTCTGGAGGCAGAGACCCCAGCATGGCTAAAGGGGGCAGGGATGGACTCAGTGACCAGGTGGGAATGACCCTTGAGGCATCCCAGGGCCATACTTGGCCTGGAGCAGGAGCCCAGGGAACCTACAGAGACAAGGTATCTTCTGAAAGGGGATGCCAAGGGTCCTCAGAGGATTCAATCAGAGGCCAAGGAGCTGGGTAGGGAAGTAGCTGGCCAAGAGAGGGACAAGAAGGAGCTGGAGGTTAAAAAGGCTGAGTTTTGTAGGGGACCTGATGAGTCCTTCTTGGGCCCTAGGGCCACCTCAGTGACTAGCTGTCAGTCCCCAAGTTTTGCTGAGAAAAGCTGGTCATGACTAAGCCCAGCTCTCGGCCACATGGCCTGCCTAAAGCTCCCCTGGCTATGTGTCTAGGTGAACATGGAGACAGCCAGGTTCTTCAAGTCAGATTTCGAGCAGAATGGAACCATGGGAAACGTCTGCCTCTTCTTGAACTTGGCCAATGATCCTACGTGAGTCTTTCCTATGCTCAGACTGCCCTTGGGGCCTTCCCCTTTCCTAGACCTGGGATACTGGGGTTCAGGACATCTCAGAACTACAGCCATGGACTAGAGCTGTGAGAATAACTCTTGGTTGTACAGGTAAGGAAACTGAGGCTTGGGGCATGCTAGGGAGCCAGACCAGGACCCCACCTGCCCTCTGATTTCCTCATACCTGTGCCACAGCAGCTGTCCTAGTCAGGGACCTCTCATTCCATCCCTGTGTCACCTGAACAAGGTCATCACTGGAGAGACCACTGTTTGTGGCATTTATTTAGAAAATGCTCTATTTTGAAAGTTTTGAAGATGGGACTTTCAATCTGGGGTTCACATGGATGACATTAAAAATCTAATAACCTATCCTGGGTATTAAGGGCACCCTCAAACTAAATAACAGAATTCTGGAGGCTGAAATGGCATTGCCAGGGGAAGAGCCACAGGCCCAGAGCCCAGAACTGAAATGGCCAGCTAAAGGAAGCGTGGTCAGGATGGCTTCAAGCAGGAAAGGCACATTTTTGGCTCACTTTGGACAGTGGGCAAGGGAGCATCAGTATTGCCAGGAAGTGCCCACTGTTAAGAACCATTGTCTTGACCAGGAGCCCTGGGCGGGGCTCATTTTATCTCTTCCCCTGCCATCTCCCAGCCGACCTTACACTCCATTCTGGGGCTTCGTGGGCCCAGGCTTGGGCCCCCAGGCTCCCTGAGCCCTGTCATGCTTGGCTTTCCAGGATTGAACGGATCATCACCCCTCGCCTGGCCCTGACCACAGCTGAGTTCCTAGCCTACCAGTGTGAGAAGCATGTGCTGGTCATATTAACTGATATGAGCTCCTATGCAGAGGCTTTGCGGGAGGTATGCTGGCTGAGGGGTGTCAGATTCAAACCACCCCTCCCTGTTTCTCCCCTGGCCTCACATCCACCCTGATAAACAAAATAATTCACTCATCTAGGCCTGCTCCTCTCAGCAAGTCTCAGCTCAATCACAGGCTGGGCACTCCTCTGTCCCCTCAGTCCAACCTCCTAATCTCCCTTCCTGAGTCTAGCCTTTCATCTTCTGACATACCTGCTATTGTGGGTATTGCAGGTCTCAGCTGCCAGAGAGGAAGTGCCAGGGCGCCGTGGCTTTCCTGGATATATGTACACAGACTTGGCCACCATCTATGAGCGAGCTGGCCGCGTGGAGGGCCGGGGCGGCTCCATCACACAGATCCCCATTCTCACCATGCCCAATGATGGTAGTCTCCAGCACCCCCGGCCCTCCAGAACCCACTCTCCATTTCCACCAGCCACCCCATCATCCCCATGCTGAAAGGAGAACTCATGTGTCCCCAGTAGATGAGAACCCCGCCCCCATACACTGACAGGGTATTTGCTTGCAGATATCACCCACCCCATCCCAGACTTGACTGGCTTCATCACGGAGGGACAAATTTATGTGGACAGACAGCTACACAACCGGCAGGTACTGTTCCTTCCCAATAGCTGCCCCCTTTCTCCCCCCATCTGCTCCCCTGCAGCCAAGACATCAAAAAAGAGTTATGTATCGCTCCTGTGCAAGAAGGAGGAGAGGTCTACCCAAAGTCACACCATCAGGAGCTAGGCACTGGGGGAGCCTGTGCTTCACAGCTAGCCATAGGCTAGCCCACTTGGCCACAGGACCTTGAGAAAAGGTCCTATGATGCTAATCTCTGGGTCCATGTCTATGTATCACACCAATGTACTGGGGGGGGTGCATTAGTATATATGAAGCACATGGAAAGCACTAAATATAAAGCAGTTCTCTTCCACACAGTTGTTAGCTTTGGTGACACTAAATAGGGGTAACAGGGCTGGGGCTGTAGCTCATTTGGTTAAGAGCCTGCCCAGCATGTAGGAAGCCTGGGTTCCATCCCCACTCTACATAATACAGGCAACAAGACAGCCTGCAAACCTAGCACAAGCCTGTAATCCTAGTATGAGGGAGGTGGAGGCAGGAAGATCAGAAGTTCAAGGCCATCCTTAGTTACAAAGCAAGTTTGAATCCAGATAGCCTGGGCTACAAGACACTCTGTCTCAAAACATGCACACACCACACACACACACACACACACACACACACACACACACACACACACACACTATTAAGCTTCAACTTGCTTGTACAAATATCAAATGTTTTGACATTGTGTTTCATTACCTAATTCCACCTCGTTACCCCTGGCTCCAGCTTCCTTCCTGCATAGACTCGCCTGTGTAACCACCCTGATGGTCTCCCACCGAGTCATCAAGGCCCAGACTCCAAGGGGAAATAGAGCAGGCGGAGTGTAGCCGCTCACTTTTCCGTAGGATGAATAGGAGTCTTCTGAGAAGGGTGTGGAGGGGCAGGTGAATGAAAGGAGAGCCTGGGTCCTGCCTCATGCTACTCTCTTCTGCTCCCCAGGTCTATCCCCCCATCAACGTGCTCCCTTCCCTGTCACGGCTGATGAAGTCGGCCATAGGCGAGGGCATGACCAGAAAGGACCACGGAGATGTCTCCAACCAGCTGGTAAGGAGAGGGGCAGTGTTTGCGGTAACCCCGATTTAAAAGGTGGAGTTCTGAGCCCCACCTGGACAAGAAGTTTCTGTCTGCGCAAAGCTGGTCCCCAGCAAGTGGAGCTCAGCCTTCAGGGGGTGGTGAGCCTACACTGCCCTTCCGTAGTATGCCTGCTACGCCATCGGGAAGGACGTGCAAGCCATGAAAGCGGTGGTGGGGGAAGAGGCACTCACCTCGGAGGACCTGCTCTACCTGGAGTTTCTGCAGAAGTTCGAGAAGAACTTCATCACCCAAGGTGAGGCGCGGCGGGGGGCGGGGCTGGGACCACCTGGCCCTTCTCTTCTGGACAGGAAGCCTTTACGCTCCTCCGTGGTCCCCAGGTCCCTACGAGAACCGCACCGTGTTCGAATCGCTGGACCTGGGCTGGAAACTGCTGCGCATCTTCCCCAAAGAGATGCTGAAGCGCATCCCGCAGAGCATGACGGACGAGTTCTACTCCCGCCAGGGGGCGCAGCAGGACCCCGCGTCCGATACCGCGCTCTAGAGCCGCCCCAGGCTGCAGCCTTCTAGTTTGTGGTCAAACCCCTGTCTTATGCCCTGCGTTGACAGGAGTGTCTTTTGGTGAGGGTGGGGCTCTTTTTAGGGGCATGCTGAGAATAAAAGCGGCGCGGGGTGGGAGTGCTTCAGACTATTAAGCAGGTACCCTACTACTGAACTCCACCTCTGTCCTGTACTTGTATTTTAGAAGTCCATAGATATAACTGAAATGGAAAACAAAAACAGCAACTGAGATGAATTTGTCTCCAGTGAAAACAAGATTGAGGAAAATTTGCTAATTGTTGAAGGTGTAGATGATACCATGCAGTTTGTAAAAGTATTAAAAAAAAGAAAAGTCTAGTTGGGCATAGTGGAGTGTGCTTTTGATCCTAGTACTCATGGGTTCTGGGAATTTGAACCCAGGTCCTCACACTTGTGTGGTAAACACCTTACCAATTGTGCCATCTCCCCAGACCCCAAAGCCTTTCATTCTGGATGCCTCTTAGGATCATTTCGGACTGTCATGATACTTCCATGGTAGGAGATTAAATAAACTCTCTGATCTGCCAGCCACAAGGAAACTGGCCATCTGGAAGGGACTAGATATCTGCCCAGCAGGCCTCTTTGATCCTCAGGAACTGTTCTGAGGCTCCTGTGAAGGACCAGTTCAGAATGGGCGTGGCAATGGAGTGCTAAGGAAAGTAGATGGGGGGAGGCCACAGAGCTTTCTGGAACATGTCCTCTCTCCAGGGTTCAGCCCTGCTCAGACCTCTGTCCTCAGCGCTGAAAACACCCCAGACACCTGTCTTCCTCCAATCTGACCCTACAAGCAAATGTTCTCTGCCCTACCTGCTAGGACTTACCATTCCAGTTCTCTCCCAAACACAGACGCCCACCCCACAAAGACCACATTAGCTCTCCTGGCACCCAGGACACTGACCCGGAAGCTCTATTTCCTGCCCATTGCCAGCACAGCCAGACCCGAGACCTCCAGAAGCACACTGGCTGCTGGGAGCCAACTCCGTCCCTGCCTCTGCCCTGGTATCAGAAGCATATGCCCTGTATAGCAGCACGTGCTAAGCCTTAGCGGGAAAGTGATGGTGAGCACCCAGTCCTAGCCCATGCAGGGATGCCCCTACTCAGACAAGCCAGGCCTGGCAGTCCAAGCATAAGTCCTCATTCTCATTTATTTGCTGTTGCCCGACAGTGCAGAGATGACTCTCAACACCCTTGAGTGTCATGGAGCCCTAGCCCACACAGCTCATTCCAGGGGCCACCACACCAGTCCTAATCATTGTACCCCATGGAGGAGTTAGCCAAAGAACTTTTCACTAGTCAGGCTTTCCTGAAAGGGACAGAAACCCAATTCAAAGTAGCTTAGGCTTCGGAAGGACCGTGAAGAGATTATAGGCATATATATATATATATATATATATATATATATATATATATATATATCATGGGATAAATAATTGCAACATCTGTTGGAAACACCATCTAGCTAAGACAACATTTTACTTCTGGGCCACTTTGCTAACTCTCCCAAACTCTGGCCCAGAGTTAGGGGCCCACACTGCTCCAGGAAAAGCTGTTTTGAAGATTATTTCTATTATTTATTTTTAGATTTATTTTTAATTTTTATATGGATTGATGTGTGTATGTGCAGCACATGTGTGTCTGGTGTTAGGGGAGGCCAGAAGGTAACTGGAGTTACAGACAGTTGAAAGCTGCCATGTGGGTGCTGGGAGCCAAACCTAGGTCCTCTAGAAAGTCAGCAACTGTTCTTAACTATGGAGACATCTCTCCAGTCCCAAACATTTAAAATAAACATCGTGAAGTCTGTGACAGGAAGGCCCCCCTTCCAGAGTCCACTTTCGACAAGCTTAAACATCACATGGCTTAGTAATATAATGTACAATGCAGGGGTCTAGAGAAGAGTGCTTCTGGCTGGAGAATCAGTATTTTTTTAAATTTAATTTACTTTATGCATATGAGTGTTTTGACTGCATTTATATGTGTGCACCACTTACATACCGGAAGCCCTTAGAGATCAGAAGACGGCATTGGAAATCCTGGAACTGGAGTTCCAGGTGGTTGTGAGCCATCATGATGGGTGCTGGCAACTGAACCTAAACCCTCTGAAAGATCAGCAAGTGCTCTTAACTCCTGAGCCATACCCCCAGCCCCGAGAATGTCTATTTTGTACCTCTGCACATCTTAGGGTACCCTTCTCCTTTCAGTTTTCCTGGGGCACACATATACTCCAAAGGCACATCACAGGCACCCACTTCCCCCAACTGGGCCTTGATGTAGTGGGTAGCCGGTCCAGCTTTGACCTGGAAGTACCACCCACTTTGAGGCTTCCGTAACTGGATCCTGGACGCTGGAGGTAGACCAAGCAGAGTTCTCCAGAGAACACCGCTGGACTCCGCTACACCTTTCCCAGACCCTGTAAAATATCCCTTCACTTGTAAGTTACCCCACAAAATAAACCTCCCTTTTAACTACGTGGAGTTGCCTTAATATTTAAACCAATACCTTACCCCTTAGTGTCTACTGTGTTCTAATAATGCTAACTCTGGAATGCAGAGTTGCGTGCAGGCTTACACCACCATGTCTGGCACTTTTCTGAGATAAGGTCTGACTGAGTAGCCCAGGCTACCCTGGAACTCTGTATCCTTCCATTTCCCAAGAAAAGTACCGAGTGGAGCGGTTCTGCTTTGGAAGGCCCGTGTGACGTAGCGGTTGTCCATTATGCTGCTGCTGTGAGGACGTAATAATTTAGCTCGTGGAATTTCAAGGGCAGCTAGTTCATAATGCAACTTCAAATACAAACGCATTTCGTGTGCGTGTGGCACCGGACCCTGCTTTCTATGGGCAGAGATGGCCAGATTCCATTTCCCAGTCGCACTTTCCTTTTCATCCTATGTGATTCCACTATAGACTAAGTGTGTAGTGAGCCCGGAGTGCAGAGTTTCCAGGACTGCGGGCTCCGCCCCTCCCCCAAGTCCTGGCTGGGTCCAAAGGCGGTGGAGGCGCCACCCAGGGGACGGGGGTGGGTCGCGGGCCCCGCCCCGCGCAGCCTTGTGTGCACTGCCGCGGTAGTTCCAATGCCCGCGCCACCTCTGTGAGCGTTGCTACCCCGAGGTGCAAGACAGGGTCCTTGCGTTCCGGAAAGGGCTCGGGCAGAAAAGAGAAGTCCAGTTCCGCTGCACCGGGCAGCACACAGCAGACAGAACACACACACGATCCCGAGTCCTCCTCGCAGCCCAGGTGGGCAGGTGTGCGGGCCGGTCGGGGGCAGGGAAACCCGGGGAGGTTCCCAGCCCTCCCACTCACCCCCGCCCGGCCAATTCTAGCCCTTCAGAGTCGTTGAACTACAAAGCGATTCCAAGCCACTCCGAGTTGTTCGCAGCCTCGGTGGGCAATGTAGACTGGCTTCGGTTCTGCCTGAATCGGGAGCGCAAGGAGATCACAGTCGACGACAAGGTAAAGCCTGCAGCGTGGAGGCAGGGACTGAAATTCCCCAACACCTGAGAGAGGCTACCAGATGAACTGCCGCTGAGGAGCTCCGAGGTGACTTTTTCTATGCCTTGGTCCTAATTACCCATCCATAGAAGGCCCATTTGGAAGCAGAGAGGTAGGGGGATGAAGGATGAAGGACTGTGAGCCAGCCCCTCCAGCAACACAGGGAACAAAGAGGGCAACCCCAAGACAGAGGCAGGGTTGTGGGCCCCGCCCCAATCCTGCTGAGCCTTCTCCTGCGCTCTCCACTCCACTCCTCAGGGCTTCACAGCCATCCACTTCGCAGCGCAGAGAAGCAAGCTTTCCTGCCTTCAGGTCTTGATAGAAGAGTACAAGTTCCCTGTGGATTTGCCTACCAACAACGGCCAGACGCCCCTGCACCTAGTCATCCATAAAGACAACAAGTCGGACATCCTCCCCTGCATTGACTACCTGCTTAAGAAAGGGGCAGCCATCAACTCGTAAGTCCAGCCTGCTATTTGGAGAGACACTTGGGACTCTGGGTCGCCAGGCAAGTGGAGTCTTGCAGGACGAGATGAGGGGTTCTGTCTGAAGAAAGCAGTCAAGGAACCCACTTAGTGTCCTGGTTCTTAAGAGACTGAGCATCCGGAGAGGGCAGATCCAATTCTCAAAATCTTGGCTCAGGCCAACTGTGGGTCTGCAGGAGTCTCAGTGCCCTCGTCCCCACACTCAGGAGTACACAGATAGCATGTGGGCTTGGGAAGCCTTGACGATCCCTGGGTATTTCTAGTTTGTAGCTTAGTGTGGGAACTGGCTGTCTTTGGTTGAGACAGGGAGGCTGAATGCCTGTGCCACAGAGCTGTTGTGATAAAGCAGTTGAGTTAGAGGCGGTTGTGTGCTGGGAACCAATCTCGGGTCCTGCAAGATCAGTACATTCTCTTAACCGCTGAGCCATCTCTCCAGCCATACTTGCATGACAAGGAAAATGCATGGCACACCAAGAGACTGCCTTGTTCTCCCAGAGTCCTAACCAAGCTTTCACGGTGTGCTAGCAAGCACCACACCCAAGCTGGGAGCATCGCAACAGACACAGGAGCCCATCTCTGCCCTCACAGAGCTGACTTTCTGGTGACCGGACAGTGTGCTAATTGCAAATAAATGAACGAATGGCCAGAATTCCGAGAGCTGGGTTATGAAGAGAACAATGGGGTGATGGGGTGGGAGCCCTGGGGAAGGGTCTATCTAAAAGAAGCAATAACTTCTAAGAAAGCGGCAATTCCTTTCTTCATTATTTTTTGAGTGCTTCATGTGGTCCAGGCTACCCTCAAACTGGCTATGATAGCCAAGGAGGATATTGAACTTCTGATTCTCATGCCTCCACTTCCCAGGTATGCATCACTACACCTGGTTTGATACAGTGCTGGGACTGAACCCAGGGCTTTATGTATGCTAGGCAGCATATTCTGTCAAAGGAAGTGCATCCCCAGCCCCAGGAGGTGACATTTAATTGCAACCTATAGAGACTGAAGAGATAGTTCAATGGGTAAAGCACCCATTGTGCAAATGTGAGGACCTGAGTCCAAGTCCTCAGCATCCATGTAAATGCCAGTTGGGCATGGTGACCTTCCTGTGATTCTAGCCAATGGGAGACAGAGACAGGAAATCCCAAGCAAGATGGCTAGCTAGACTAGCTGATTCAGTGTGCCCTGAGTTCAAGTTAGAGAGACCATGCCTGTACATATAAGGTGGAGGACAACAGAGGAAGACACCCAGTGTCAACCTCTGACACACACACACACACACACACACACACACACACACACACACACACACACATGTACGCATGCACATGCATGCACACATGGGCACACACACCTACACACACATGTGACGATGCATACACACATATGCACACCACACACATTAAAATGAACTTCAATCTGAGGACCAAGTGAGCCAACCTTGCCAAAAGCCAGGAAGGAGCCAGATTTGGTGGTACATATCTATCTGTACACTCAGCTCTCAGGAGATGCAGACAGGAGGGTGAGGGGTTCAAGATCATCCTTGGCTACATAACAAATTTGAGATCAGCCTGTACTACAAGAGACCTTGTCTCAAAAATCAGACAAAAGCGGATGAGATTGACGGCCCTGAAGCGGCCCAGGGAGCCTCCAGGCATATTCATATTACAGCCTCCTAGCTGTCATATTCAACCACATCCTCTACTTAGATTTGCACTGCTCAGCTTAGAGAAGAGAAACTGGAGGCCTGGTGAGGAGCAGGGTTATGGACAGGATCCCTCACGGTGGTGGCAGAGTGGGCACTGGAAGCCTGCCCACTCCGGCTTACCTGCCTATCTGATGCCCTTCCCCTTCCCTCTGCCCTTTACCCTTTGCCCTGTGGTATACCTCACAGTAAGACATGCCATGGCTCTACCCCCTTGCACCTGGCTGCCCGCAATGGCCTGCTGGGATGTATGAAGGTCCTGGTGCAGAATGGGGCCAATGTGCACGCCCAAGATGCCATGGGCTGCAAGCCCTTCGACTACTGCAAACTCTGGAACCACCGCAGCTGTGCCCGGTGAGCCCGTGACAACTGCACCAGCTGCTGTTCCTTCTGGCCCTTCCCCAGAACTGAGCCCCTGGGGGGGGGAGGGTTGAGGAGGCAGGTGGCAGGATATTGTCCACATGGGGTTGGCCTGACCTCACCCCTTTAGATTGAACACTGCCCTCCTTCTTTGCTTTTCCCCTCCCCCAACTCTCCATCAGAAACTTTCCTCTTCTCCCTCAGAGGGTCCCTGGGCATAGGACGAGGGTGCCTTGCTCTTCTCTGCTCTGGCAATTCCACTCATCCCACCCTGGCCCTCAGTGCCCCACCCCCTGAGGGCAGCCCAGTTAGTTACTGTAATATGCCACACCTTCACCTTGGTGCCAGGTTCTTGAAGGATGCCATGTGGAAACAGAACAAGAAGGACTTTGCCCGAGAAATGGGGAAACTGAAGACCCTGAAGAGGAAGCTGACCGTTTTGGAGCGCCGCTACCTGACTGAGTATCAAGTAAGGGGGAGTCCGCGCCCCCCCCCCAACCCCCGGGGCTGGGCCCTGCTGCCAGGTGAGAGCAGTCGGAAGACTCCCTCACAGAAGGAACCCCGCCCCCTCCCAGATCCTCCCTTATAAACCACTCCTTCAGGCCAAAGGTCTTGTCCTGTGCCAGAAAGCGAATGCAGCCTGAATTATGGGGCATTGAGATATCCTACCCTCACTATGCACTAGGCTCCTGCCAGGCCCTGCAAGTCCAGCCAGGTATGGTCTCTACTCAAGGAGCTTAGTGCTAGGGGAGGGGTAGGTTATGCTCCTGGAGAGAGTCAAGGAGGGTGCCTGAGGGATGCCAAGGAGGTGTCTTTGAAGATGGACAGGCATCTGATATCCATATGGAGCAGGGAAGGAGAGACCCACAGAAGGAGTCACCGTGCAGAACGCATGGGGCACACGGGAGCATCCCAGAGGCAGAAAACGTAGGGATCAATCCGACTCTAGATTAGACCGACTAGAGGCTTGGCAAGGGTCCAGAGCAGCGAAGCGCTTTGGCTAGTGGACATGGCAGGGGAAGGGCTCAAGCAGAGGCCATCGGGGAGCATAAAGACACTCAGACAGGACAGGACACTTGGAGGGAGCTGGGACTTTCCCTTCCTCCCCCCCCTACCCCCTGCTCTGTAGAGCAGACTGGCCTGGAACTCAAGAGCATGGATTACTAAGTGAATCCTACAGTGACTTCAGGGCCCTGCCACTGTCCCAGCTGAGCCTCTCTTCATGATGTCCTCCCTGTCTAGGTCAGCCAGCCCTTACAGCTGTCAGGTTTTCTGTTGACCCTGCCCCTACTCAGCAGCTCCCTGCAGACCTCCCCTCAGGATCCTCTTGTTGGCCTCAGTGGACCACATGACCACTATTCTTCCAATGACTAGAACGAAGAGCAAGCCAGGTGCCGCCTGACTTAGGACTGGGCAAGGCTGACAGAATTAGGACTCCTGGCTTAGCCTAATCAGTCTGCCTCTAGAGCTGGGTCAATCTCCAAAGCACCCAGTTACTTAGCAGCCGTGGAGGAGTGCGGCACTGAGACGACAGGGTGGGGACACAGCCACATGGGACAGTTTCAGTGCCAGCGGTGGCAAAGACAGCTCTAGCTGAGTCCCCAGCCCTCCAGCACCCAGTCCGGCCACGAGCTGCTCTGTCCTCAATGTCACTCCCCAAAAGCCCGTGTACCTTCGTTACTTCCAGCCAATGCCAGGCCTCCTAGCTCTTCCTCTTTTCTCCTTCTGTGGACAACCCAGAGCCTTCAGAGGGTAGGACTGACCGTCTCCTTGAGGCTGGGACTACCTCTAGGGGAAGTGAGGAGGCCTGCAAACTTGAGGTTGTCCCTAAGGGAGGTCTTTGTCCTCAAGCTGGAGGTCTCCTATGAAAGTTTTGGTCTCCTCCACAGCCTGGGAGCCCCATCAGAACAAGGGATGCCTACTCTCTCAGAGCAAGGCTCACATAAAGCAGCAACTTGCCCACTAGGCCTGGGGTTTCCCAGGGCGCTGGCCTCAGGGTCTCCTGTCCATAAGTGCCACTGCCCTGTGACCTTTGTTGTTGCAGAAAGAACAACAAATTCTGAGAGAGGCCCATTTCAGAACATGGCTCCAAGGCAAGCTGCAGAGCCGGCCCCAGAGCTCCGCTGGACCCAAACAAGAGGCCAGTGTCCAACCTTGGTCATTGGCCCTCTCCCAGACTCTAAGATCCCAGTTTATCAAAAGCTTCCCGACTTTTCCTTCCGTGGAGGCTCAACTGCAAAGCTTGCCCTCACCTGTGGTGACACCCAAGCCCATCTACAAGCAGCAGAGCACCATCAGTCGGCCCAAGTTGTGGAATCTTAGCAATAACCCCGTCAGCTCCCCCATCACAAAGATCGACTGTCCTCAGGGTATACGCCTGGGCGTGCACCCAGACCCCTGCAAGGAGCATGACTTCTGTAGATTCGTGGAGGTGACTCGGAATTCCCTGGGAGGTGCATGCCTGTACACAGTGGACAACCACTCAGTGACACCTGTACCCCGGCTGCCTTTTGAGGTGATGGTCCGGGTGCTGTACCCCAAGGCTCAACCCTACAGGATGAAAGTGCCCCAGGGCTTATATCCACTTGACATCCTCAAAGTGCCCCAGAAACGGCATTTGGGAGATACCTGTAGCAATGCATTGGCTATGAGCCTGCGTGAGACCTTTGATGAACCCTTCCTGGCTACCCTGAAAGCTTGCCCGGCTGGAGGGGCCCCGCCCTCCAAGGGAGTTCTCACATAAAGTTGTTTTGGAACCCTCCTGGCGAAGGTGGAAGTGTTGATTCCTATTGTGGCGGAAGGACTGGGGAAATACCTATGGCGTTCTCATTCCCAAGCCCAAGACAGGAGCCGCCCTTACTCCCTCCTCCCAAGAGCACACATCTCAGGCTTACCTTTTCTCTACAAAGAAACTGCCTGCCTCCCTGGGATGTACACATCTGGACAGAGAATAAGATTCAGTAGAGGGCCGATAATGTCCTGGGACAGAGCAATGTAAAGGTAACCCTCTGGTCCTCACCGCTCTACCTTAACCTACCCCTGGCACACAAGGGACAAGGCTTCCAGGACAGGGCCCCCCTAGGAATTCTGCCACCCCCCCTTCCTGTCTGCTGCAGACCCTGACTGGGGATGAGGAACAGCGAATGTGATATCCAGTACCAGGCTTCTCTGCTCATGTGCCACTGCCCCGTTGCTCCGGGTCCCACTGAGGTGTGTGAAGCCACGGTTCCAGGAGGCAGGGCAGCATTTCTGCCAGGAGAGAAAGCCCTGTGGCTTTGATGTGAGACTGGTCCAGGAAGCCACCCTGCACCCCAGCGGTCCCTTGTTACACACTTACAACTCATTCTTTAAACAAAACATTTATTGAGTGCTTTCCATGGGCCAGGCGCCAAAATCAGGTAGTTGATAATACAAAAATCCAAGGGCTTTCCCTGCCCTCAAGGAGCTTCCAGTCTTGTGGGAGGGGACAGACCATACCACAGGCCAGTGAGCCTAGAGGGATCTGTGTGGCGGCTGGGGTTAGGGGAGGACAGGGGACATTCAAGGCTCCTTGGAGGAAGTCGAATCTAAGAGGAAAGTGGCAAACTACCAAAGTGAGCAGAGGGAAGGATGTTAAAGTGGCCGGAGAGCCACGGTCTCTGCATACAGGAGGCGGGGGCCCAGAGGTACTAGTCAAGTGATGAGGCCCGCAGGGACCAGGACACCAGGAGCCTCACACACATGCTAAGGAGTCTGGACTTTATCCTGAGGGCAGTGGAGAGCTGGGAAAAAGTTGGAGGCCAGGAAAGACTTGGCCAACTGTGCATTTTAGAAAACCTACTCCAGCTGGCCACAGGACAGAGAAACACAGGGGACGGACGGACTGTCAGCACAAACTAGGTGAAAGATGGCAGTAGGAGCGGTTCCCAGGAAGAGACACTAAGAATAGACCGGATGTAGGGCAGAAAGAGAAAGCCAGATCCTGCCTGGCTCCCGAGCCATCATGGGACCAGGGCAGGTACTAGAAAAAGCAGGTGAACAGAGCAGATTTTGAGGTCAAATGACCTCTGTCCCGAGAAGGCAGAACTGTGGCTGAGAAGTTAGAGGAAGCGGGGCTCAAGGCTGGCCCTGGCTTCCTCCACAGTGTCCCTAAAGCCACCATGGGCTTCCTCGGGCAATTCATAGCACAGCCAAAGAGCAACTGTGTGCACAGGGCAAGAGGAAAACCGCTACAGAAACGGAAAGGACAGGGAGGTAAGGGGACAGGCAGCCACAGAAGTGCCAGGGAAGCGAGTCAAGAAAGCAGACCACCAGCTGTCAGCCACCCCCGGACCCAGTAGGGAACGTGATGACTCCACCAGGGTTAGCCTGGGAAAGCCCCTGCCCAAGCACTGACCAGCAGGTAGGGTGAGCAAAGATAGAGAAGTGGGCAGCGAGGCCAAATGGAGCCAGTCTCAGGACGCTGAAGGGCAGCAGCCTCGGGTCCTAGACATACTTCACCCACCCGAGAGGCAGAAATAGGTCTGGCGAGCTCACCTGTAGCTGCAAAGCAAAATTCAGGGAATGGCAGGCTGAGACTCAACAGAAACGTAAGAGCCAACGGGATGAAGGATGCATGAGATAGAGATGATCACCAATAGGGGTCTCCCCCATGCCTGTCCATCGGGGCACCTGCCAGACTCACGGTGAGGTACGGATTCGGCCAGTGGTAGCTCTCATGGGGCCTTCATTCCATGTACTGCCGAGCCCTTGCAAGGCACTGTAGTTGGAGTGCAAGGTCAACAGATGCTGGTCTGTCCCCAGGATGGGGCCCACCTTCTTAGAAGGCAGAGCTCACATCCCTCCAGGAGCCAGAAGCACACACGAGTGTGAGGCCTGTGTGCTCTGAGTGGCCGGGCAGCCTCTCCCAATCCCATTTCTCAAGAAACAGGCCACAGCCTAGGCTGCCCAGAAGCCAATTTTTATTTATTTTTTTTTCATTGAGCCTGAGATAGAATTCACCAAGAAACCTCTCCTTTTCCTCAAAGGAAGACATAAATAGGATATTGTAGATGGTCTTCTGCATCTCTAACCCAGTCCCAACTGTTTCTGCTCCCTCCCATCTGGACGATCACAGTCTGGGGCAAGGAAGACATGGAAAGAGGGAGGAGCCTCAGAAAAACTGCCGTTACCACTCATCCTCATCTCTGTTCCCTTCCCACTTAGGGCCACAAGAATTTCTTCAGAAGGGCAAGAGCCAGAAGATGAGTCCCTGGAGTAGAAGGCTAGCCCAGTCTAGGCAGAAGGATAGCGGGCAGAGAGAAAGATGAACTCCTGGGGTGTTAAGGCAAACAGTGCCACCTAGGATCTTTATTCGAAGGGGAATCCGCATTGGACAAGACCCACAGTTCAACAGCAAAACGCACTTTTCCCGGAAGTGCCAGCCCTCAGCTCTTCCCTATGGTCACCTGCCTGAGAACTTGCTGTCTCTTCCCCAGCGGCATCGACCCTTCCCTGGCTACCCCATCCGAGCCAGACCCGACTCTGGGAAGGGGAGGGCTGGGGACATAGCCTCTTGGCAAAGCAGGCTCCGCTACCCTCTCTGGTGCCCTTGGCAGCATTCAAGCCCCCCGGAGGGTGGGGATGGGGCTTCAGAACAGAGGGAAGGGAAACCTGGGCTGGCAGAAGACACCCTCCAGGCTCCCAGGCACCATGAGCCCAGAAGCCCAGGGGCCTGGCTCTACTGGTCTTGCCCCCCACATGCCCTCCCCAAAGGGTCAGTATATCTTCTGCCGACTGGGTAGGATGGCCTCTTTGATGAAGGAGAAGACAACCAGGATGCCTAAGCGCTTGCCGCGCTTGCCTTTGGTGAAGTAATTGGAGACCACGTCATCTGTGGAAACACAGGCAGGTGTGTCCATCACCCAGAGCCCCAGTGTCCTCTCACAGGGCTGGCGCCAGCCTCCCCCCCGCCCCCCCACCTGACCTCACAAACCCTTCCTCACCTCCCGGCTGCATGGTGGAGGGCAGGACGTTCTCCCCAGCCGAAAGCGATACGAAGAAGGCGAACGGGATTATCCACAAGCAGAAGGTGAAGTAGGCCAGGACCTGGTGACAGGAGAGACTGAGGAGAGCTCCAGGGGCGCCCCCCAAGGCCCACCCCATCCCTGCAGGGGCTAGCACTCAGGGAGAGGGCAAGTATGGCGGTGACTGAAGGCAGTCCCTCCCCAAAGGGACACTGTTCTCGGGGGGTTTCAGGCAGGAGGAATTCTGGGCAGGAACCGATGGAGCTGGGGGCTGGAGGGTTGTCCCCAGTCCTGTCTTGTGAGGTCTGGGTCACCCAGGCCAGCCTGGTGCCCCTCCCGGACTTGAGATGAGCTGACGGGGGCACCCAAAGGACTCATGGTGGGGAAGAGGACAGTGTCGGTGTCCACCTCAGCCAAAGGGACCCCTTCTGTCCCTCAGACAGCCTGCCTTCCAAAATCATCATGGTTTTTGTTTTGAAAAAACAAAAAAACAAAAAAACATGGTTCCTGAACGGGGCCAGTTTTGGATCACAGCTACACTCACAGAGCAGATCGGGTAAGTCCCTTCACTCCTCCATCTCTGCCACTGTGTACATGAGCTAGACGCTGGGGACATCTTACCTCAGAGAAAGGATAATATTCTTCCGCAAAAAACTGAAATGCCAGGTAATGGTTCACCACCACTAGCCCTGTGGGGATGAAGAGTCTGATCACTGTGTGTTCACCAAATCTAGAAGGCCCCAAAACTGGAGCTCCATCCAAGCCTTGACTCTGCACCGACTCACAGCATGGCTCCGGCTAGAACTCAGTCCCCATCTGTTAAGAACGGGTGCTTAGCCCCAACTTTCTCAGTGCAGAGGGTAGCAGGAATAGAATCAGAAGGTAGCCTGGAACATTCTGGCATGTTATAAAAACACGTTTTTTTTTTGTGTGTGTTACGTAATCCAGGATCATGCCATTGCTCTCCCAAGAGCAGCAGGTGATGGGAGGACATGGGCAGGCAGAGCACACACCACCACGCAGACTCCACTCCACATTGTACAGCTGGGAGGAGGCCTCCTCAGAGACGTGTACAGCCAGGGTTCCTCGGAAAGCTACAATGGGAGGAGGCACACCGGTCTACACTGGTATGCTCCGGCCCCATCAACTCTTCCCTCGTGTGCACAACTTCACAAAAAAGAGCAAGTCAAGGGACAGCTGCCGAGAGGAACAAGGCCCTAGTGGCCTCCACGGCAGGGGAAAGGGCAGGCACCAGAAAGACCACCCCCATACCCACCTCACAGCCTCCTGTCTCAGTTCTCCCCTTTACCATGAAGACAGTACTCTGCTATGTCACGCACAAGGCTGAGGGACATCACACGGCACCTGGTGCTCACGACGTCCCTCAGAAAAACTCCTTCAGGCACCCAAATGGCAGGCCAAGGGAGTGCCCTAAGGAAGCCAGAGGAGCCTTCTGGTGACCACAACTCCTCTGTGGGAGACACACCAGGGGCCTGGTGCTGAACAAATTCTGAGGTAAAACCACACCTGGCATGGAGAGATGCCCAGCTCTAACAATCTGCCCTTCTGTGGATAACATTCAGAATCTCCCCCTAGATATAGACATGTAGCTAAAAGCTCACCCCATGCCATCTGCCGTCTTGACCCAGGCTATGGTGAGGAGAGACTACCGTGCCCGTGACCACTTTCTAAAACCTTTCTCATGAACATCTGTGTACATCTGTGACCACCGAATGAACCAACTGGGTCTGACAAAACAGGGAAGGCCCAGGGATGG